ATTACGGATGGTTATATGGCGTGGAATCGAAATATCTAGAGCTCCAGGATATGAAGCTTCTTCGAGCTGCGATCCCCTCCCCGGCGGGAATCTTAATGCATGCGGCCCTTGGTTTACTCGTCTCTCCAACCAGGTAAGCCTTTCTTGCTGTGTTTGAGCATAGACTTCGACTAGACTTGAATGAGTCATAAGACGAGTTTGTCGTCCATAGTAACACAACTGCAGTCGGATCTTGGGCAAGTGGTAAAAACTTACCGTCAACTTCATAGTCAGTACATTCTGTTGCGATTTCTATAACGGTTTGCATTTTATGTGGGGAATACAGTAATTATATCATGTAAAGCTTTGGTTGGTCAGTAATGGAATCGCTCATGCATTATAATATCACTAGTGGAATGTGGTTTGTGTAAACGATCTATATTACAAGTAAAGCTATTTCTCTGAAAAAATTTTGTGGGAATACTAAACATCACTAGTTCCTTCGTTCCTTCCCTTAGATGAAGGTTATTTAAATGAGCTCTTCCCGGAACTCCGCAGTAAGGAAGGAAGGCCTAGAATCATGTATTCTTATGTCTTTGTGTCTTTACCAATGAATAAAATCCTTTTCATGTTCTTGGCAAACACACGTGGACTTGTATATACCACGTTTCTTGTGCAGTCTTTCTACGGGTACAAACAAGGGAAGGCAGCTGACTTAGGTCGGCCTTTTGATGAACGAACATATACTCGGAATCAGCTGAAACGCTGAGCCTAAATTTGTTGTTTCTAGCTGCGAAGCATCATTCTGGAAAGAGTTACGAGCTTTTTGCTACGCCCCGTTGACTCACTGCTGAACGTAGAATTAGCCTATAAGTAGAAATCTGCTTAAAAAAGGTGCTGGAACATTGAAATAACATCGAGTCAAGTGTTTTGGTGCTGATAGGGAGCATTATGCCTGTGCACTACCTCTGAATACTGAAATCGTAATCTCTGTAAGTCGATTAGCATCCAAATTTTGCACAGCCCATAACTTTGTTCAGAATGAAGCTTCGCAGCTAGCGACAAGATATTTGGATTCAGCGTTTCAAGCTAATTTCAAATAGAGGTATCGTTTTTCAAAAAGTCAGGTAATTTCCCCCGTAAGTTCCCTTCAAAGCGTCGACCAGCGGCTGGTGTGCTAGGATCACTGCCCTTCTCTCTGCCTTCTCTTCCTAAAGCACTGGCAAATCGCAATCTTCCACTTGCCAACGCGATAACGGGCTAACTCAAAACGAAGGCTTTGTGGCTCCAGTAAAAACGCTCGACCGCGACGCTTGCGGCAAAGATTTCATGTTTTGCCTACTGGCAGAAACTGAGCAATCTAACAATTAGATGTAATAGTGATTCTTAGAAAATTTCTTAAGATTTGGCGGCCTCCACCCAAGCCAGTGGCGGGACCGGAGTTTGTAGTAAAATACCCTCCCCTCCTTATTTTTCAGCGGGGGCTCCGCCGATTTCTTACACACCAAATATTTTTTGAAAGCTCTTGAAAATGAGATTTGAGTCTGCGAAGTTGCAGTTAAATTTACGAATTTTGGATGAAGTTGAGCTGTTGAATGTTGAACCGATTTTTTATCAGCATTACCACGGCGCGGTTCTCGGCGGTCTTTTTTCGAATCGGCCATGCGGCAATGCGAATTTTGTTGGGACAAACCTCACTCTCAGAGGTACGATGAGGGGAGCCGAGTACCCTAAAAGTGAAGGTGGTCACAGTTACCACTGAACGCCTCAAGTGAAGGTGGTAGTGCCGCTCACCACTTCGCAAAAATGTCGACGGGGGAGGGGGAGGGGGGAAGCGTTAACGTCGACTGAGCCTCTTCCAGGTCGTTGCCGCCCGTGCGCGGAAAATAAGCAAAACAAATGCAAAAGAGATCATTGGAAGCATATTTTTATATATACAGCGGCATAAATATCTAAAATAAACGTGACTATCAAATGGTGTAATGTTCAAATGGAAGTAAAACTCACCGGAACTGTACGGATTTTATTAAGTAAATTTTTTCATAACGTACAGCGAAGAAAGTAGGTCGATCCAGGAAATAACCGCCAAGAACCAGAATTTTGAATAATTTAATTGTGTAAAATCATGAGAAGTTTCCACTGTTATAAATGTGGTGTTTGAAGATGTCAGCATTTGCGACTCCATAGGTTTTGAAGAGTAAGGATTGCCTTATCAGAATATATCTTAGCCGTACCGATCCACTGAAAGCCGAGATTCAGGCTCTTCAAGAAGCAGGTAAAAAAGTGCTTTTCAAAATTTAACAGCTCATAACTCCTTCAGAACTGCATGAATCGTGTTGCGACTTCGTAGTTTAGATTTTCCTCATCAAAAGCTTTCAGATGATATAAAATATGGGGGTTTAGGGTTCCCTACGACTTATGCCCGGGGGAAGAGGCTTTTCATCACAAATTCTCCCCTGGCGGCATCCACCCAGTACACTGAAGTGGGCTGGGGGGAGAATTTGTGATGAGAAGCCTCCTCCCCCGGACATAAGTCGTAGGTGGCCCTAAACCCCCACATATTTTATATCATCTGAAAGCTCTTGATGAGGAGAATCTAACCTATGAAGCCACAACACGATTCATGCAGTTCTGAAGGAGTTATGAGCTGTTAAATTTCAAAAGCACTTTTTTACCTGCTTTTTCAAGACCCTAGATCTTGGCGCTGCTTCAGTGGATCGGTACGGCTAAGATATATTCTGATAAGGCAATCCTTACTTTACAAAACCTATGAAGTCGCAACATCACCTTCACATTCAAGACTTATATGAATTTAACTGTCAGCTGTCACTAAACGGGTAGAGGACTATATGTCGCCGAAAAAGGGCGGTCCCCGCGGTCATTTGCGACAAATACGCACTCTTGTCATGTGCGGACATGCGTTCCTGCAGGGAATCCGCCCGGGACTCTTCCAAATTCAGCGACATATAGTCCTCCACCCTCACTAAACAAGCTAAAATGGCGTAATTCGCAAATGCTGACATCTTCAAACACCACATTTATAACAGTGGAAATTTCGCATGATTTTTCACAATTTAATTATTCCAAATTCTGGTTCTTGGCGGTTATTTCCTGGATCGACCTACTTTCTTGGCTGTACGTTATGACAGGATTTACTCAATAAAATCCGTACAGTTCAGCAGAGTTTTACCTCCAAATACACCATTAATAAACACGTTTATTCTAAACTAGCTGGCTTACCCGGCTCCGCCGTATGTTCCGAATAGAAAATTCCATTTCTTAACCGATCCGGACCAAACTTGGCACACATACACTTCGGGCCCCAGCGGGTGTCACAGTCCACTTTTCGTCATCAATCGATATCGATTTTATCGATTTTTTGCAAAATTCGAGCTACGGGGCTGGGAGTTGGCACAGGGGGGTAATCGAGCATGCTGATCACCCCCGTGGGGGTGATCAGCATGCTCGATTACCCCCCTGGGTTCAGAAATGGAATTTTCTATTCGGAACATACGTACAGACAGACATACATACATACAGACAGACAAACAGACATTCAGCTTTATATATAAGATACATATGCCGCCGTATACATAAAAATATGCTTCCAGTAATCTTTTTTGTGTTTGTTTTGCTTATTTTCCTTTTTTATCGTTCAGCGAAAAAAATTTTCTATTCCAAATGTGAAGGTGGTCACCCTGTACCAGCTCAAAAGTAAAGGTAGGGGGAGAATCGGCTCCCACTATCGCACCTCTGCTCACTCCGCAAACCCAGTGAGTCTCCAACATTGCATGTCCATTCAAAATTTATAGGAACTGGAAATGTAGCTGTTTTTGATCAGCTTAAGGTGGCGTTTTTTTGAAAACAATTACCCTATTTTCTGTATAAGCCGCCCCTTTTGAAGTTTCAAGCGAGCTGCTCAGCCGCTTCACTGTGTCTCGGAAAGCGAAATCCTTTCTTTGGCGTTTTTCGGGCTGGTCGATTTTAGAAAAAATCCTCCACGGCTTATATGCCTGAAAATAGGGCACGGCGAATTTTCCTAGATCGATTTACTTCCTTTGTAGTTCGTTATAACCGAACTTTCTATTCCACAACTTTCTATTTAACAGTTGAGAAACACACGTTCGGAATATTTATGCGGTTGGTCGTTGGAACCATCAAACGTCAAGAATCCTTGGTCTCCAAGATCGTAGGGAGCTAGTGTTGAAGCATGGAGGTAACGAGCATAGGGTAACGACTCAGGTGCATGCAGTAGTGGATGGTAATGTGGCTTGCAGCAGCCGCGCTGCCAACTCTGCGCTCATGTTTATATGACACTCGTTCATCCCGTGTGGACTGGCAACATTAACGGTAACGAACTTGGAAGGGTAGCCGTCTATCAGTGGCAGATCTAAAAAGGTAGAGAGGGGGAGGGGGAAGAGGGAAGAGGGACATCTTTAAAAGTCGCTTATATGAGTTATGATTGTGCAAGTGACTTCTCCACTTGTAATTAATCAAAATATATTTCAAAATTCTTTAACAATATGAATTAGCAACGATGAAACGTTTTCGGGGCGATGCTTTGGAGATCTAACGTCCTCGTGTTTTCGGGTTACTAAATCTCGATTTCAAACTTCAACTTCTTTTTTGAGGTGATCTCGATTTTTGGTATTCACTCGGCCACCTGAAGTTCCGTCTGCGCGCAGAATTTTTTCATGTAGAAATTTTTGGTACCAAGTTCGAAACTTTCGTAATCTTCTGTCGGATCTTCGCTTAAAACTAATCCTATATGAAGGAAATAGCTAGCTTTTTGTCACTGCGGACCATCCTATTTACTTTATGTAAATGAAGGTTCCCAATCACCTCAATGACTGAGATTTCATACTTTTGGTATAGACTGAAATAGTTACTTATTTTCCGCTTTCATGATTGCAATGTGATACATAACACTTTCGCACCTTAATAATTGTTCGCAAGTGCTCAATAGTCAATCCCTGAATCTTCTTCATTGATTGCTGAGTAAATAGCAATATAATCATTAAAACGTTCAGATGATAGAGAGCGATGCACTGCCAAGCACATCTAGAGAGATAGAGGATTTGACTGAATGCCCAATATGCCTGGAGACCTTCGTGCAGCCTGTACAACTAAGTTGTGGACACTCGTTTTGTAACAAATGTGTCGAAGAGATAGTAAGTGAACAAGCTATGTTGTTCGAACTTATACATTGGCTGGAAGTTGTAGGGTGAATTGAAAGTAAAGGGGCATCTAAAGAATATGTGAGGTAGTGAATATCAAAACTTTCCGATCGAGGTCTATAGATGGTCACTTCGCATGGTGTCGCGGCTCTGCAATGCAGAGCAGTTCCTCGAAACAGATGCTTGTCGCGTTTACCTGTCGCGCCTTTTTTCCGCCGCAGGACCACTCCATTTGGGAACAAGTAGAGGGGTATAATAAGGCTGCGCGTGAGAGCAGCCCTCGCTCCTTAACTTTGTATGTTGAGCGGTTGAGCATTTGGATATCTTGTGTATTCGACGCCCAGGAGCGCGGAAAAGTTTTCTGAGTTAGTAGATGACCAAGATTGCGGGAGTGGAGCTGGGATCCATATAGACCAGGGCTTCTAGCGGCAGACCCTGTGGAGGAATTCATACATCCTTTATGCTGATTGAGCCTTAAAGACATCGACAGCACGGGATGAAGCTGCTCTTCCCGTTTTATTTCAGTTATCCCTCTTTAGGTTAGCAGTGCGTAGTTTAGCAGCTTTGCAATGTATATTGCGTTTCGTTATTTAGTATATAAACTTACCCAAACTAAACGGGCGCTGAGTACGGGTAACTGGTGTGGTGGTGATGTCAAATGGACGCGAAGGGCACCTATCAGCTCCGGACGCGCAAGGCTTAGGGTTGTTTCATACTGCCGCACTGACTGCAGCATACTGCAGCTGACTGCACTGACCGCAGCAGACTGCAGTAGACTGCAGCGGACTGCAGCTGACCGCACTGACCGCAACGGCCGCACAAGCGCTGCATCCTTTCATAAAGGAGAAAATAGTTGCGAATACATCAAGACACCGTGATTTAGCCTAGAAAGTTCATAGGTTCCAACTTACTCTTCTCAATCAAATTTTGGGAAATTTCTTTAATATGCTTGTAGTAGAACGCGTTGAGTCGTTGACGATTTATTAGAAAAACACAAGAGTTCCCCTCTGCCTATCGGCGTAAATGCCGAGGGTTCACTAGGAATAGCTCGAGAACAACACACAAATATATCAAAGTGCGGCGGGTACGCCGCAACCACAGAGACCATATCGACGTAACCTATAGTGAGCGAGCAAGTTCCAATATAAGGGACGGCTCTACAACAATGCTCATATTTGTTCAGATTCCTTTTGTCATTGCATATACCTATTTGACTCCCGCTCGTGTTGTCTACTGGGGCATATATTGTTAAGAGACTGTTTGAGCTACAACTGTTTATCCTCTCCACCGTCACGAAAAGATGTGGAGATCTGATCTGATCTGTGATCTGAGATCTGTGCGGCCCCGCGGTCAATACGGTCAGTTGCAGTCAGCTGCGGTCAGTGCGGCAGTCTGAAACAACCCTTAGAGTTCGGGGCTAGTCGTGTATGGCAGTCGAGCGAGGTTAAGGAGTGCTGAGCCCACCGAGCCGCAACACATGGTGTCTCTTTAGATTGCTCAAAATAAAGCTCGTCACTTCAAGTAATTTCGAACTTGGAGCAGCACCGCCGCAGTGAAACGAGTGAGGCTGCCAAAATTATAAGTGCTGCAATGGCTTGAGGGACCGCTACCAAATTCACGATAGCCTGATAGTCCCAACCCTTGGCAGCAGAGGATACAGCATTGAGTGGAGACATATTACTTATTCTCTCATTGAGGTGATTGAATGAGCTCACATTTGACGGATGACATCTGATAGAACCGTACGCTCTATTCATGCATATGCAATTTACCTCAACTTTTTTCATTCTCAAAAAATTGTGCGCTAAAACATAATCTTCAGGCTGAAAATCTGCGTCAAATATTGCACTTCTCCGAATAAACTGCCTTTCTATACAAAGTAATAAAGAACATTCAAACGACCGTTAAAAAGAGCTCAATAAGTCCTTTCAAATGGTATGCCCCATGTCCCGAGATTTGGAATACAGCAGCACAAATTCGGATGGCAAAAAAAGTCTGTCTGATTTCTCCGAAGCGCCGCTCGAAGGATTATAGGAGATTGCTGCCATATAACATGCGAAGATTACTCTATACGAGAGTGTCTTCACTACTGGTCGTTTATCTCACAAAAAAAACCTCGAAACTGCAAAAAATCGAGATGTCCCATTACTTTTGGATCAGACTAGAATGTTTAGAAATCAACCCTATTTGTGCAGTCCCAGTGGCTGGTGAGGGTGTAAAGGCATTGTTCACACGAGATCTGTGCATTTGGATACACTTCGCACACCCAGAAAAAGCGCTGATTTTCTGTTTGTAACGCGTCATTGACAACCATTTCCCTTTCCCGGCCTCTAAATTAGTTATCCTTTCGCGAAGTTCGGCGAGTCTGTTGCTTGTTGAAAAATCAAAAGAAGGCGTTCAAACGCTCTGTAAGTGTTTGGTGGAGCCTACGACGTATACGCAATACGCTTAGATCCCAGCTGCGTACTGACCTCCGGAGAAACGATGATTCGAAAAGGTGGGCTCGAAGCCGGAACTTCAGATAGTCGCTGACTTGCTGCAAAGGCCCTAAGGCAATCTAGGCTGCTCTTCATCATATTCAGCCGAAGCTCTGAGATTTTTCATTTGAATTCCGTCCAGCTCAGTGACAGACGGACGGTATACAGATAACTAACCATTCATGATCGTCTAAGGGTAGGAACGAAACGGATGTTCCTTTTTTGTTTTGTTTTCAACCATTAGATTTTCACTTACACTGTAGTCCTTGTCCTTTTTCCTTTCTTTTATTTATACAAAGGTGCCTAGTTTCTCGAAGAAGAGGAAAACAACGAAATAAGAAAGCGCGCGCACTGTCAATAAAGCAGTTCGAAACAGATTCCTAGCTTCCAAATCCAGGCTTTGGCTTCAAGTGTTCACCTCTTTCTTCAGTATTGAAATATTACGCTGGCGCACACATCAAAGTGACTTCGTCTTTTCCAGACCGACTTACGGAGAGTGATATGTCCACAATGTCGTCACATGACCGAAGTGCCCTCCGAAGGTTTCGCAATTAATTACCGTTTGCAAGGTAAGCCTTTGCTCCATCACAACATACTTTACGTTAACCGCTTGCATTATTTCGTGCTGTTGTTTAGCTGTTTTTCTCCAAACATCTCGCTGCTTAAATCCGCTATCCTTAATTGCGCAATGCTTTCTTTTAACACATATTTCTTGCTGCGTACTTCATTTGCTATGAATCACTTCTTTTCAAAGGTTTGATAGATTTCGAAAGGGTGTGATTCGCAGCCCTAAGCAAAGCACAAGCAGATATATTCCAAAAAATGGGTAAGCAATTATCACTTTTCTACTTATTCTTCCTACTTACGCGAGCAGATTGCCGGCATTTCAGTCGCAGCTATTTGTTCACGCACAAATTCCACCGAACACGGCCATCGCAAGCACATTATATTAGAGGCACCGTCTACTCAAATGTTCAAAGAGTTTTTGCAATTGTCGCACCTCCTGCGCACGTTGAATCCGAACCCAGGCCTAAAATTGAACGAAAATCTCAAACTATTGAATTCTGGATGCTTCACAATCCGTAGTATCTAGAGAGAACTCCTTGCGCCTGCCGGTCAGCAGCGGGCCAGCTGCGGACGCCGCGGATCCATCGCAGGGAAGACGGAGACAGGGCCCGGCACCGATGGTTTGGGGTCAAACTGGACTTCGCTTTTGAAGTTAGAAGCAACGGGGACATCGTTTTTATGAGGTCCTGTAGGAAGCGCCAAAAAAAACACGACGAACATGTCAGGTTTCACGAGTTGAGCGTGTTCTTTCGCAAGCGCGCGAATTTCAAATGCAAGACTCAAACAAACGAATGGCTTGTTTACAGCGCACAAACAATCACATGGCTCCGAATTTGGGCTATGTGTATACAATATTACTCCAAACTATGTTATGTAAAAAGTTCCCAAAACTTATGTTTCTTAATATCCGTTCTCGAATTTGTTGGTTTCTAGACCAACTACCAAACCAACTGGGTTGGTTCGGAGCATAATTATCGGAGAGTTCACATAAGTTTTGAACCTTTTTGATTTGGACGATTAAAACGGTCAAAAATCTATCATATAGTGAAGAGAGCAGATCAAACCGTTGCCTCTCCTCTTTTTTGAGTCAAAAGTAGTATAATTCTACGCGTTGATAGATATCACGCTCCAATCACTTGCGGTGTCCTTTGAAATATGTGGCGAAAAATGCATCGCAGGATTGTTGAGGCTACAGATTTGGTTGGCATAGGAGATTTTCGACATTCCCAGCATCAAAATGGTACTATACCCAATGGCAGAGCCTTTAATCGACTCGAAATGTTTTCTTTTTGCTTTTTTGTTATATTACAAACCTCAAAATGCGCTTTTTTCGCTTTTTTGTTGCTATTTTGGTTGCACAAGGGTTTCCCTACTGATTTTAACGTCGAGAGGGACTTCGAGCACCCCGGCGTTATTTGATTATTTCTTAATCTTTGCGATTGCTAGGCGAAACCACTGAGTGGGCGGGATCAACATACCGCCACTCGATAGGGAGGAGCCAACGGGGCGAATCCGTCTTCCGAAGAATTTCTGGAGCGATTTTCTCCCTTTGGAAGCAACTTCGGACAGCGAGAGTTGGACAGTTATATACTTGAAGGCCCGCAACTGTTAGACATCAAAATCTTACTCACATCATTTTGTGTGGACGGTGCCTTTGAGCAGAAAATCTACTAGACTATAAGGGAATGCCTAAAAGATGATCACGTGCACAGCGCGAATCTTTGAGAAGGGCTGTGATGAGGACGTAGAAGAGCGAACTCCACCATTTCGGGCCGCCTTCGCGGACGACTTTAAATGGTCTTCAAACGTTGCAAAGGTATCGTAGCGGGACCAGAAGGGAAGTAACGGAAGGGGCCTAAGATGGCGGAGTTCATTCCCCAACCCATGAAGAGAAGATATGCAAAGACCTTTTTTAGATTTAGTGGCGCTGGTTTCCAGAGCGAAAGATGTTGGTTGTTTTTCTAGGATGCAAAACTTTCAAAAGCGTTCTGACGAGGTATACTAAAGTAAATGGGATTTGTGTCAAACACTAACATGTTTGACACAAATCCCATTTGAAGTTCGTTACTAATCCGCTGTTTGAGGTAAATGTCAGTTCGACAACACAGAATGGAGCCCAGGAATCTGACGCAGTGATGATGTGGTTGTTTCCTATGGTATTTAATTTCGAAATTCTATGTGCAGCATCATGGGGTGATGATTTGCTGCTAGGAACTGACAGCGGGCTTATGTTATGTGATTGTGGCAATCAAAGCAAAGGTTCGAACAAAACTGGGAAATTGTGGCCGCTACAACGGAGCTTCATCTTTCATAAGACTTGGCAAACTTCTCTAATTCAGTTTATGAACTGATAAACCGGCGTCGCTATGAACAAATGGCCGTACTGGAACCGCAAGATGTCCTTATTACAATTTCTGGAAACAACCGATCATTAAGGATTTATGATCTTAGCTGGCTCATGCAGAAGCTACTGGAAGCAAAGGTGATAAGACCTTGACAGAAGGGGTCTACATTTACAAATGAGTTCAGACTTCCGTAAAAGGAGCGGGAACCCTAAAAGAAAAAGGCTGGACGGACCTTGATGACGTGCAAAGCGTTCAACATTTCAAAACAGTCTGCTATGAACAAACAAAATACCTAGTTGTCGGCATGGACTTTAGTATTGTAATATATATTTGGGAACCTGATCCTTACCACAAATTCGTCCCTTTCAAGGTAAGGAGAAGAATTCTCCTTGAGGAGAGTATACGTGTGTCATCACACGCAGAGACCGGGCGTCGTTGCGTCTGAGCAATACGTAATAGTAGTATGCGTTTGAAGGAAAGAGCAGGTGAGGGGAAAAACAGTTAGTATGAGAGACAACAGTAAGGTCTGCAATGGCGACCTGCCTCTGCGTGCGATGACTCGCTTGGAATACCTCCTGTATGTCGCTACCGTAATTTTGTTCTCACCGATAATCCTAGTCTTTCGAATCACTGTCTCACTCGCCACTGTTTGTTGATTTGGCTTTGGAAAACAAAGCACGTCTGAAGGTGCTATACGCTTCATATGAAGGTTTCCATGCTATTGACCTTGATTCTAGTGCGAAGTACGATATCTACACACTTCCCAAGGTAGGGGTCATAGTGACAATTATTTACTGTCGGTAAAGACTTGTTTCTAATTTGTTTCTTTTTAGTACTTACAGCAAAATATTCTACCTCGCTGCATAGCGGTCCTTCCAAATAGTAACGATACGCAGTTGCTACTTTGTTATAACGGTAACTGAATCCTTTCTGATTTATAACTCCCAGTAGGCTCCGCATAAATTGCATTACAGATAAAGGTGTTTATGTTAACATTTTCGGAAAAAAGTCAAGGAACGTGATGCACTGGGTAGATATGCCACGTAAAGGTGGCAGCATAGGTAATTTTACTATTTTTAAGGCATTTCGAGCACATGTGTAGTTTAGTACATCTGACGGTAAAATACGGTGGCCATGCAGTTCCAACATTTGCCAATCACATTTGCGCGTGAACATATTACCGGAGGGAACAAAACATGAATATCTGCGCATTGCGGCTAATCCGCACGCGCAAGTCGCCGGCACCACCAACTGGTAGTATGTTCACGCGCAAATGTTATCGGCAAATGTCCGCAACACGGGCACTGTATTATCACCGTCTGATCGACTACCCTAAATGTCCGCAGTCATTACCAGTAAGTTGACTTTCAGCCTATATCTCAACTGGGCAAATAGTGTGCTGGGGACATATAGCCATTGAGGTCCGATCGGTTGATACGGGCAACCTCGATATAGCTTTAATGTATGGAAAAGTTTCCAGATTTAAGTTTTTATGTGAGTATAATGGCATGGTAAGTCCAAAGACATTTTTGTTCCAAAACCTTTTTAAAAACTACGGCTATTTAGGTGATCTACACAGTAGCCGAACCTGATGGTCGTTCCTGCCGTATACAGGGTATAAAGGGGATACAGCATGCAGCTAAACTACAGAGCAAAAGTGTTAATAGATGCATACGTTTATCTCAACTTCCCTTTCGGAAATATAGTGTGAATTCTATAGCGGTGTAGGAAATCTGTTAATTGTCTGAATATTGTTGCTTAGGATTCAATTTGCATGATACCATGATCCAAAGCATAGTTTGGATCGCATTAAAAAGCATTTGTTATTATTCGTAGATGTCACGCTAAGCTCCTCGAGCACGCTAGGGCTACGTTCAGCATGTGCCGGCGACGTGCTAGCGCAGTGCCAGCGCCGTTGCAAGAAGGCGCTTCTGCGGAGACGCTGGCACGACTCTAACATGGCGCTGGTAACACAACTCTGAACGCAGTCTGACGAAGATTCACTAACCACGAGCCCATGACGTCCAATATGCAATTTGCTCTATGCATTACTTTTATCTATCATCCACACAATATCAAAAACACAATATATATATGTGTAATCAAAAGCATGACAAAAACGAACAAATAGCCCTTCTGAGGAGAAAAAACCTCTCATATTCGGAGGTGACTGAATTTGTATCTGACTACAGCGAGCCCATCTAAAGCATAGTGCGGAAATTCCTGAACATAATTTACGGATAATTGCTGACTAGGATCTAAGTGGCGCAAGTTGCAGCCTGCAGACATTCGGACCATTTTATTTCTTATACAGTAGTATAACAGCTTTGTTGATATCATCTCCAACTACAATTAGAAATAGATACTCAAATAAATAAATATCAGGTTGATGCATAATTCTTGCGCCTAATTTTTTGAAGTTCTGTTACTTCATCCAGCTTCAGTACCTTCTGGTTTGAAACATAATAAAAAGAAAAAATCTTGCGATTTCTGAGGGTGCTCGAGCCAAATTTTCCTCGAGTGTGGCAGCGTTGTAAAGTGATTTGGAGAAATACTTAAAAAAGTGATTTTTCGATTTTTGGTCACTAGAATTGCTAAAACGTCTATTAAATTAGAATCATTTTTGGTCTTGGTTCTATGACATACTCTTTTCAACAAAGTGAAGCTGGTAGTGATTGGATGTCTCTGCGAATAGTTACAAATTTCGATTTTTCTAAAGTGAGTTTCTGATTTTGTTTCGTATTGATTTTCTAAAATTTACTATAGAATACTACTTTTGATATGCGTAACAATAAGCACGTTCTGTAGATAGAGAATAGCTTATGCTGCGGCGACTTTTTTGACGAATTATGAGCGGTATTATATACGCTTCAGTCAACATTGACTAAGATTCACTTGTAAAATTGTGACGACGGATTTAACTGCGGTCTTTGCGCCCACAGGAGCATAACACTCTCATATAAAAAGGCATCACCTCAACGCTCAGCTCATTCACTTCCAGTGTCAAGCACTAACATATCTAAGCAGAAAAACCAGTCAATACAGATCAAAGCCAAGAAAATGCGGTTTCGGAGAGGTGCGTGCGTGTCGCGCGTGGTCGCACCATCGTAACGATTTTTCGAAATCAATATCTAACAATAAGCTATTCTCAAAGACTCATCAAAGAAAACCTATGCCTCTGGATAATTACACTATACAGTAGTTCTTTTTACCTTCTTTTTCCTTTCTTTTTTCTATGCCGATCTTCCTTCACTACAGATGGGTTTATTTATGCACCAGTACGCACGAGGCGTGCCACTTCTAAAATCAAGAAAGCATCTAGAACATAGTCAGTAACAAAGAAACAACAAAAGAGCAAAAAAAAAACATCCATAGAATCAGTTCGAGTCTAGCCTCGAATAGTTCATGACGAGTAAGGGATTGAGCTTGTGAAAAACATGCATGAATTATACTATTGTAGAGGATCAATGGAGTCTGTCCCATGCCCCCTGCTTGCAGCAAAATCACTCTTTGAGTTCCGGGAAGATCATATTCCTACCTTTCTTCTGTACAGTGGATAGGAACGAAAAGGAAAAGATACTCTTTTGATTTTTTGTTGAGGGTGGTCTGAAGATACAGGCACTACCTTGGGTTTTAATGTATTCAAAACTGTCGTAGATCCGTCCGCCATTCTGATCATCGGATTTGCGACCTTCTCTTCGCTGGAGCCCTATCTCGGACCTTTACCTTGAGACCAACCACGTTGGTGGGGAGCCAGCATGGTCACTTATCCTTCTAGCTTTTTTCTCGCATTGGATTTCATCTTTTGCAGCTAGACTTGGGCGATTGCTCAGTTAAGGTCCCCGCTATTATTGGGTGCGGAAAGAAGGTCTCTCAATTGAATCCTAAAACATCTCGGAAATAAAGAGGATTTGTGGCTTTTCTATCCCTACATATAGGCGAGACCTTGGAAATTAGAATCAAGACCTTATAATAACGGGCTAAGGGTTGTTTACGTGTTTTCGTGTGTCTGTGTGTCCGTCTGTTACGAAATTCGTAGAGAATGTTCCAGCTAGCGTTCCAAGCCCAAATTTCGCATAGGGCATGCTGCCTTCATGAAAGTCCAACACGCAAAAGCACGACTAGATTCGTTGAGTGGACCCCTCAGAAACTGCGCGCCAAACGGGTCCACCTGGCTTCTGTCCCGCAAAATTGGGTCCGTATCACCACTTTTTGCAAAATCGTGGATGTGTTTGGTAAGCAAATGTGCAAGCGATGGACTGTAGGAAAAATGGTCAAAAATTTACTCTATAACGAAAACGGCGCCAAAAAGAATTGGTTGCGTAAATGATCAATTTGCCAAGGTAGCCAAGCATTTGAGAAGAATTTCGCACAGAGATGTAGCTCGTGGTTACTATTGCCTTTATGGTGACTACCAAGCCATGACAAATTCAAAAAACTATCCAAATTTGTCGTGCGTTTGTCTTCCTGCGACAAGTTTCATCCACGCGAAATCACCGATCTCACGTGAAAAAACTTTCTAAATGAGTAGTTGTTTACATCTTATTCGTGGTAGTCGGCATAGCGCGGTGAGTTCCAGTGAGAAAATTCTACGAGCATGAGTAAAGCACATAGATAATATAGCCAATGCGAGCCTCTGCGAAGCAGAGGTGACGCACTGTAAAATAATGATTTGGTATGGTCACTTTCTGTCTATTTAAACGAATGATAACAGCGAGCAGGATCATATAAAGGATGCGTCTCAGCTTTTGAGGGCGATTTTAGCCTGAAACTACACCGCCGAGAGTGATATCAATTTCAAATTAATGTAGTGTGTAGAGTATTTTCTCTTCTTCAGAATTCCATACTTATTACAGATCAGTGACTTGAGATTTTGGCTAAACAAGGAAAATTATATCCCAGGAGAATCGCAAAAATTTTGGACTCTTGTTCAATGAGCTGGATCCAGATTACGATTCAAAATTCCAGATTCTAACACAAAGCAGCAGGAGTAATGGAAAGAATATCGGGCTTTGTTCAATTATAATTTTGGATCAATAACGATTGTATCCGAGTCTCTGTGCCACTTTTCTGATCGCCCCCCTATTGCGCCACAGCAATTATTTCGAAGAAGAAATTCACAACTTTCCTCCTAGTGCAACTGCGGACTGGCTACTTCAGTATATTTTGAAGGCACTAATCGCATTTCTTAAGCAGTAAAAGATCTCTCAAATCAACGTCGGAAAACAGGAGAATTTTTCAAAAATTTTCGCCTTTTATACTTGTAAAAGAGATTGGCAAGAATTGATATGGGGTGCGTTGCGAAGAGGAATCTGCTGCCGGGTAAAATTGCACATTTTTGGGACCATGTTTGTTAAAGGCTAGAGTGTATTAACGTCTGAAGATTTATGTCGAATTCACCAGGAAAACCTGGAAATCACGCCGATTTTTTTACCTTTATTTTGAGGAACAGTACTTTCTCCGAACCCTGTATATTACATCAAAATCTCGTCACCCTCGATTTGGGTGGACGGTGTCTTTAAGATGAGATGAAACTCATCGGGGCACTGAGACAGTGACAGAGAGTAGTGCAAATATTAGCGAAAATTCATACCAGGTTTGTATAAAGATAGTGTTTATGGTTAGATCTCATAGTCATAATCGAGTCTTACGTAAGAGGGCAGGGAGAGTCTGTATCAGGGCTCAGCACGAGCTGAATCCAAGGGATTTTTTGAATTGAATTCTCTTTGAAATCCAAAAATCCTACAAAGTCCTTCTTGACATTTTAATGCCCCCTCACTACTCTACTCGTTTTTTTTTGTTGTTTTGCGCTGTAACGCAAACCAGAATAAGTAGAAAAATCCAAAAAAATCCTCATTCAACCATTTCTTCTCGATACCTCTTCCTACCTCCCCCCTCCCCCCGCAAATGGAAAGGAAGATTCAATTTCATAACAACGAGAACAAAAGAGAGAAAGAGCAAAAGCAAAAATGATGGACACGAACGCCCGGAGAACATGAAAGACTCGCGCCAGGGCCCGGCACGGATCGTGTGGAAGCAGGCTGGACTTCGTTTTCAAAACAAAAAGCGAAGAAGACATCGTTTTTGGCGAGTCGAGGCCGAGCACCAAGGATAAGCTCCATTTGGTCGAACACAAGCTTTTCGGAAGGTCATCACACGATTGACATGCTCTATCGTGTATGGCGAAAAGTGCGCGCGTTTGAAAGCAAGGCTAAATAAACAAATTGTTTGTTTACAGCGCACACAGAATCGTATGACATCAAAATTGGACTGTATATAGAAAAATATTTGCAAAAGAACTACGCAAAAAGATTTGAAAACTATGAAAACTTATGTGAAGTACTACCTTTTTAAAAATTAGTCCGTCTCCAGACGTCCACCAGACGATCTGAGATCGTCTGGAGCATATATTTTTGTCACTTCAATAAGTCTTGGATTTTTCTATCATGGACGGATTCTCCGGTCAAAAATCTATCCCTGGGCATAAAACCATTTCCATATCACTGCCTTTCCTTTGTTTTTTGCCTCAGTTGCCTCATAAATAGCTTCGTTAGATAGCGCGCTCCAATGCCACACTCTTGTGCATGCGTAGTATTCAGCTCCAATCTGGATTTTCTTATCTCACGTTTTTTCTTTCACAGTTCTTTTTTGTTTACATCTTTTCTCAAGTGGGTAGGTCAAAGGGTACTTCGTATAACTTCCGAAAGTCAGGAGAGACTTCGTTTTCAGAAATCCTAGAAACCGACTCTTGCCAGGCCCTGACTCGCGCGTCAGTTG